ACTACTATGCTTAACAATTGTTTATCACTATTACACACACTAACACACAAAAGATAGATCCGTAATATGGCCCCATATATAAGCCCCCTCCCTTGTATAATCCCATCAAAAATCGCTTACAAAAGAATATAAACCTGAGGCTTATAGTCAGAGGTTTACGGTATGCCTTTGCAGGCTTTGCCCATGTGGCTTATGTAGTTGTAAAGACTGTTCACATGGGCAATAGAATAAGAAAGTTAGGAAACTTGATGCAGACATAATGGACTTCATTATCTACATGTTTTTGTCTTGGTTTGTGCAAGAAATGATCGTTCATTGTCACATGTGTATTGTATTTTTGCTAAAGCAACCAAAAGCTACTGCCATTTGTGTTCAAGGTTGAAGCATGCAAAAATTTTCAGGTTTTACGTTTCAACGTAACGTTGCAAAGGATATCACGCCCGTTTGGCCGATAAAATTGAATCGTTTGAAAGTATAAAACTATTGATTGTGGAAGCAAGAATATACTCCCATTCTTGTATTCTCGTGATTCTAAATCAAATTGCAATCAATTATTACATTTTGTAGCTGAATTTTAGCTGATTTACAGCACAAAAATGTACAAACGTCATTGGAATTCAAACATGACATATTATGTAACAATCAATAATAACTGTTGCATTGTTCAAATGATCAGTTTCATTGGTCAAAAGGGTTGTGATTAACCCCTGGAACATCGCGTTTAAAACATAAACAAACGTGAAAAAATTTCCACGCTTCAAGCTTGAACGCAAATGGCAGTATGTTTTCATTTAACCATTGTGTAATATCACAACTGGGTAATTAAACCAACACGCTGCTATTGGTTGGGTTGGGCAAGAAAACGGGACCGGCTAAACGGAGAGTTATGAAGTGGAGAGTTAACTCGGAGAGTTATGATTTCGGAGAGTTATGTTCAAACCACGCCCACTTTTCCCAATGACCACACCCAATTTCTTAACTCTCCCGACGTTTCCTTGAACTAACATGAGAGAGTTATGTTTGACCCAATCTCTCTCGTTAACATTATGAAGATGTTAAAAAGTTGTCATTTTTATAACTCTCTGCGTTCATGATTGTGGCAATGAAGAGAGTTAAGTCAGTTTTTTGAGAAAACCTTCCACATATTAGTACATTTTTGTAAATTTACTTTTTTCTCAATCTCAAGTGTCAACATTTTATGCTAGTAGAAACTAATAGTACTTTAGTACTTACCAAATTCATCTATATGTATGTAAATGTTTATATAAATATATACATGCTCACTTGGATTATCTAGCAAGACCAGCATTCAGATACATATTAGATAGAACTAGAAAATCGTTCCAATGTAATGCCATATTGGCTGATCCGGGAAGTATTTCCAAAACCTGAATTGCTGAAAGATTCAATTTTCTTAATTTTCTTGCAACTATGCTTGCCGTATTTACTGCCAAATACATGTCAACACATGCTTCTGGGGGGTACTTTGGCCCTTTGACTGAATCAAGTTGCATTTCCTATTCACACGCTACAAATTGAAATACCAAAAAATAAGATGAAAATCTGAAGAAACAAAAGCGGAGATCGAGTTATAAAAAGTGGTAACTCTCTAACATCTTCATAACGTTAACGATAGAGAGTTGCGTCAACATAACTCTCATATGATATTTGTGATGTTACTCTGAGTGTGCATCCACACCGGGCAGGCTTGAAAAATATGCCCGGCCACGGTGGGATTCGAACCTACGACCTTTGGAATACCAGCCCAATGCTCTTCCAACTGAGCTACGCGGTCAGGACGGTTCGAGTAAGTGATATTTCGGAACAGAATCTAGTTCCTTCGATACCAGTGTAATCTTGGCAATGGTATTCCAAAGGTCGTAGGTTCGAATCCCACCATGGCAATGGTATTCCAAAGGTTGTAGGTTCGAATCCCACCGTGGCCGGGCATATTTTTCAAGCCTGCCCGGTGTGGATGCACACTCAGAGTAACATCACAAATATCATATCCACCTGAGTACACAACACCAACACAGAAAAAATCATATTACAAGATTACACTGGTATCGAAGGAACTAGATTCTGTTCAGAAATATCACTTACTCGAACCGTCCTGACCGCGTAGCTCAGTTGGAAGAGCATTGGGCTGGTATTCCAAAGGTCGTAGGTTCGAATCCCACCGTGGCCGGGCATATTTTTCAAGCCTGCCCGGTGTGGATGCACACTCAGAGTAACATCACAAATATCATATCCACCTGAGTACACAACACCAACACAGAAAAAATCATAACTCTCATATGTTAGTTCAATGAAACATCGGGAGAGTTAAAAAATTGGGTGTGGTTGTTGAGAAAAGTGGGCGTGGTTTGAATATAACTCCCCGAAATCATAACTCGCCGGTTGGTAACTCTCCCTTAAGTTATACCCCAAGAAAACAATAGAGAGTTTAAGTTCGACTTCCAATACCAACACCTTAACTTCCGTTCTCATAAAGTGTTAAGCTATCACAACTGATAAAGTATAGAACACATTAATCGTCACCGAAAATGTGCGACGGCTGAGCTAAAATTCCGACTAAAACATGACTCAGGCGATGCCAATAAACAAATAGTTTATGTGTACATGTTTATCGTAAAAATTATGAAATATCCGATTTATTTGAGTTTACCTTACATTAATTTCCCACGACTTCCAATAGAAGGCCGATATACTTGTCCTTGTGCTTCTTGTGAGCAGAGAGCATGCGCATGACATGTTGTTGGTATCGGTGGAATTCGAACTTAAACTCTCTAATACACATGTGACAATGAGGGAACCATTTTTTGCAAAAACCAAGACAAAAACATAGATCATGTATGAGGTCTATTATGTCTGTATCGAAACATAACCTTGACTATGATCACATGGGGGTCAATGATGGGCCTTTCAACCATTAGGGGCAGACCATTAGAAAGGTGATGTGGGGGGGGGGCAAAAGCAAAAATAGAAATCGAGCAGGGGAAACAGAAAAAAAAATTCTAGCACAAAAAAGTTTTAAAAAAAATTTTGTGCATAGACTTTTCAATAGTGAAAATTATAAGTTGTGTAAGGGTGGCCCCCAATTGTAAACCTAAATATTGAAGATATGGGTGCAAAAAAAGGTTTTACACATGTATTAACAAGAATGTGTGAGGGAAAATTTTTTTGAATTGAAAAAATTCAAGCAAGGGATGATTTTAAAAAAATTATCAACACAAGCAAAAAATTTTGAAAAAATAATTGCACAGGTTGGAAATGTCCCCATCAACGCCGGAACGTACTTAGTTGATTATGTCACCATCAAGGGGGTACCTAATTGGATGACAGTTGATATACATAAGCTACTTCTAAGAATATTTAGGGGTGCACGGAGCCGAACTCGGTTCCGGCTGGAACCCTGATTTTTTAGATTTCCGGTTCCGGCTGGAACTAGTAAAAAACGGAACCGGAACTCCGTCATTTTCAGAGAGATAGAATATCAAACGTTTTTGTGTCTAACAAAAGGTCACAGTAGAAAGAAATTTGGACTACGCAAAGGAAATGTACACTAACACTTCATTATGACGTTTAACGCTTGTCAATATTTTTATTCTAATATTTGTGAGCTCTCTCCTTGATGACTTGAAGTGTCTGCAGCGGACAAAGTAACATATGACTATATATGGCTTAATAAATTAGTTCCGGCCGGAACTTTTTTCCAGTTCAGGTCGGATCCGGTTTCCGGCCGGAACTTAAAAAACTGGTTCTGGTGCACCCCTAAGAATATTTATATTAATTTGCAGGCAAATACAGGACTATCGGTACTGCATATAATGAAAATGAGTATTTTATCACTGTGATAATTCTCGGTTGAAGCCATGTAATTAAATACTTCTTATTACCTCCAATTTAGATTCTTGCTGGTCATGACAGTTGTATCCAAAAGTGGGGCCATGGATGCTGGTCAAGTTCTAAACCGGGGCCACCATGGGGACGCCCAAATGCACCAAACTAATTTCATATGTGGAATCTTTAATATAATTTCACTTTATTTTTGAGACGAAATTTCACCAAAATTTTAACAGTGCAGCTTAGTGGTGGTTGTGGATACTTTTGGTATATTATGTACTTTAATGGATTATAATAAACATTTATGGATTACTAAGGATATTTATTACCATAAACATGTTCGGACATATGTACCTCCATCTCAACGGTTACCCACAGACATTGATGTACCTCGATAATGGAGCTGCACTATGGCTAAAGTGAGGTCTAACTTAAGGTACAGATTTTCATTGTTAGCCTGCTATTGGGCAGTAGTTAGCCTGCTATCAGGCAATAGTTACCCTGCTATCAGGCCGTAGTCACCCTGTTATCAGGTAATGGTTAGCCTGCTATCAGGCAGTACCTGTATTTCGGTATTGAATTTGTACCCATGACTCTAGTTTGCATGTGTGCGGTGAAGGCTCTGGTTAGGCTAAAAAATGTAGTACATTTTCACACAATTTTTCCGATGCTTGCATGGTTACAGAAACGTTGACGTAACCTTGACTGTGATATGCCACATACTGTTGTGATTTTTGGCACTTATTATGTTGAAACACGATTGCTATGAGTATACAAACTTATAATGCATCGGTATCTCACCTCATTGTGAAAACCCTAGCATATGCCGCATATGCATGAACAAACTATATCCAATTTTTGCCACATTTTTTCATTTTTGAAAAACAGCAAAAAAGTAAGGCTATAGCACTAACTTTTCATCCATTTTTAGCGACTTTTTCCATTTTTTCATAAGTGGCAAAAAAAAACAGAAAAAAAGTAAGGCTTTAATAGCATTAAATTTTCATCCATTTTTAGCGACTTTTTTCATTTTTAATTAATAGGCAAAAAAACAGCAAAAAAGTAAGGCTATAGCCCAAAAAAGTAAGGCTATGCCTTAACTTTTCATCCATTTTTAGCGACTTTTTCCATTTTTCATCAGTGCACAAAAAACAGCAAAAAAGTAAGGCTGTAGCATTAACTTTTCATTCTTTTTTAGCGACTTTTTCCATTTTTCATAAGTGGGCAAAAAACAGCAAAAAAGTAAGGCTATAGCATTAACTTTTCATTCATTTTTAGCGACTTTTTTCATTTTTAATTAATAGGGAAAAAAAAACAGCAAAAAAGTAAGGCTATAGCACTAACTTTTCATCCATTATTAGCAACTTTTTCCATTTTTCATAAGTGGAAAAAAAACAGCAAAAAAGTAAGGCTATAGCCCAAAAAAGTAAGGCTATAGCCTTAACTTTTCATCCATTTTTAGCGACTTTTTTCATTTTTTTAATAAACAGGCAAAGAACAGCAAAAAAGTAAGGCT